CTATGCGGTCATAGATCAAATCCATGACACGTTTTTAATTTTTTTCTAAATTTCTTATTTCTACTAGAATTCCATGTTTAGTTGCTTTCTTACCATAATTAACTTATTATGCACGTTTTTTTTATTTTATTTTTTTTTTTTTTGGGCTAGGTTTTAGAAGTCTAGTAGAAATACTTTTAGGATTTTCAATGTTTTACAATTTTTGACATACTGAATACAATTGTGAGACATTATTGCTTTTCTCTCTCTCTTTCTTCATTGAACAACTCATGAACTTATCAAGATCTAATCTTGTGGCGTTCAAATCAATTAGGTGAGATTCATATAACTTTGCGTAATCAAGAGGTTCGCATGTCATCAGTGATTTGGGTTGCTTGATTCCAAACTTATTAAATTTAATGCAGAACCTTGCTTTGACTTTCTTAGGGACGATTTCAATCTTGTTATGGGTTTGGTAGCGATCTGACTACATGGGTTCATATCAGTTCCTTAGCAGGATACAACGTAATTTGAATGACCTGCTTTGAAAAGTATTTCCTTTCGGGTTGTTACATTCTCTGTGAGATGTCTAAAGATGGGGAGGTGAATCAAGTACTGTATGATGAGGGAGTATATATTAGGCTGCTTTATTATTTGTTTTCTCTTCATCCTCCTCTATAGCCGATTTTCTGTTGAATAACACACGTGCATATATGACTTGAAACCTAACAAACTCTATCTCACCCCCAAATGTACATCTTGATACAAACGAAAATAGAAAATTTGAGATAAAGAGAGAGCTGAATATTGGCTTTCTGGTTCATACATTAAAGGCTCTACTCCTTCCTCGCTCTCTTTGAACATTTTTATTTTGACCATTTAATCAATGTTATGGTATGGCAAGTGGAAAGAAACAGTATAAAACCAAATAGCACAATATTTGTTCCATGATTGGGTATACCTCAGATTATCAAGCCTTGAATCCAGGTCCATAATGTATTCTCTAATTTATTTATGACTGAAGTATTAGTCATTAGACCTGCAACCACTTGTTCAAGATGGTGGTGATAGGCCTTACTACTTGAATTCTATCAGAACTTTCTTTTGATAAATTAATCGCATAAAAACTTTTAAAAATATCCATGAAACCTTCATTTAGAAAAAAGTAGAACATAGTGTTTAACAGCTTCCTACAGCAGAGAAGTGTTTAGAGGATGAACAAAAAATAAGAGAGATTTCAAAAATTGACAGAGCATGCAATCCTTTATAATGTCCTATTTCATTCTCAGTATCAAGTTGCTTTGCATCTACTGCTGTGTACGTACATGTCATGAAAAATTTAAGGTTATCATTCCACATTTAGACGATTGACAGAACAATCAGACTTGCTATTAATGTGGTTCTGTTTTCAGAGTAGGGTCTGCAACTCAAATTAAAGCCATGAAACAAATAGCAGGATGCCTAAACGAGAAAATATTATCAGGAAAGATGAAAGCAGCTATGGCGAATGAAGTGGAACATTCAATCTCATATCCAAGGGCGATCCACGAGCCTACTATACTATTCCTTATATAAGTCTTCTTGGTCGTACTTACAAAATGATCGATGTCTAATTCTGCATATCTAGGGGCCATGAAAAGTTTCTTTTAGGTTGTCGCACACCACATTCTAATCCTGTTATCCAATACATACATCAGAGTAGCAATGGGTGATCAAATGTCTGAATGCTACATATATACGTGATTCTTAACTTGGCCAAACATAGTTGTCAGCATGACCAATGGACAAATAATATAGTATCATAAAACTTCATTTTTTAAAAAGCTTTACATTCTAATTTAACAGTCAGCATTTCCTAGCGAAGATCGAGATGAATGCAGAAAACAAATCAATCTTTGATTTGTATGATTACAAATCATTAATTACTTATTGCAACATAAATTGGGGGAGAGAATGAGACAAAATTAAGTCTATGATTATTTATTTATAACTTTCATTTTGCTTCACAGTTCATTCAACTTACTTTACTACTTCACAAGGCTCACAGCAATTACTATGACTTTGAATTTCTAAAGCACTTGACCTGATTAACATCCTAAAATTTTTCACTAAAAAATACAGACAAGACGATAATTTTTGAAAGAATACCTTATATAAAGCATGTGTGGTTTTCGTAAAACAGAACAGAACGTTAAAACAGAAAGAAAACATACAAAATAAAACATAACAATAGCAGTGGAGATAAAAAAAAATGTATACCTGTCTATCAACCTTCTTTGGCTCAGCTGGTTCCACTAAATTAGCTGGAGCTGGAGCTGCAGATGGTGGTTTCTCAACCTTATTTGGCTCCAATAACGAAATGACATTCTTCACCAAACCAAGTTGTTCCTCTGATGGAACATCCATCACAAACCACATCTCCCCAGCTTCCTCTTTCAACTCAAAGCCCATGAATTCAAATAACTCCACTCCTCCCAGAACATCTCCAATCGCATCCTTTATCTTCGGATTCCCCATCCGAATCTTCCTAAACTTCGTATTCTCTGGCTCCTTCACGATATTCCTCAAAAGCCTTAGCACTACATCTAGTGATCCCACAGACGGATTCCCTGATAAATATGTAGTAACACAGGCCTCCACTTCATTCTTGCCACCCTTATTTTCTTTTTCATCATCCTTAAAATCACATGACTCCGCATTATCCAAACAAGTCTCAACATGAGAAGACACCTCCTCTTCAGAGCCATAGCCTTTACCACAAACTGGACACTCAAACACTTTCAAAGCATAACCATTGGGATTCCTTTTCCCAGAGGTGATCAATGAGTTAAATGGGTCAAACCCATTTTCAAACTTCTCATTCCTATCTGAATCAACCCGAATTGCAGGTTTTTTATCCTCAATTTTCGGTTCAGAATTATTACTCAATTTTTGAGTTGCAGGCTTCGAATTTGATGATAAAGATTGATTATGCTTTGGAGTACTCAAAGATTGGGAGGGCCTGGTTGCATTGAAGTTTGCAGGACCTGAAGAAGAAGGAGGAGAAGAAGAAGAAGAAGAGCCCAAGACTCTACCTTGGCCCGTGAATTTGCCTGAAGAAGGCGATGAAAATGGGTTGTTGACTTTCTTCATTAACCCCTTCATTTTATCTTTCATCTCATCCATTTTCTTCCTATTTTAATGAAATACAAACCAAAAACGAATCAGAAATCGAAACACCTCAAAAACAAGAAAGAAACGGAATCTGAATGAATATATATATATATCAATTTTCAACAAGATATATGAACGAATGGGATATTTATAGTTACAAGGGAAAGGTGAAACTTTTAAGCTGAATATATAAATATAAAATTTCTTCTTGTACATGTGAAGTGAGACAAGGTACGAAGCGCACAAGAAAATCGGGGCTGAGAAATCTAGGGAGGGGCCGGTCCTATAAGCAAAGCCAAAGGGTTATGGAGCAATTCGCTGAATTTTGTTTTACTTTCTTTGGGTAATTGAAAAAAGAAAAAGTGAAAATGGAATTAGCACTCCGTTTGACTTACGTTCTTTAAAAAAATATATATTTTGAAACAGTAATTTAACATTATTTCAATCACAAATTTTTCAATAAAATAATATTACACTCAAATTCAAAAAAAAAAAAATTTTACTTTTTAATCACACATTTTTCACCAATACATTATTCAAAAATACATTCTAATAAAAATAATGTGGTTCAAACAAGGGCTAGGTGATAGTTTTGTATTTTACTAAAAATTAATCTTTGGCTTTAGAAGAAAAAATTCAATTATATGAATTCAAAAAGAAAAAGATATACAATTACATCCGTTAAAAGAAAAAGATATACAATTACATCTGTTTTTTTTTTTTTTTTTTTATCGTAATACATCCGTTTTTTAATTTATAATATGTTTGAGATCCATTATTTCCTAAAATGTATTTTGGAATCGTAGATTGATGGTGAATGTGTAGTTAAAAAATAAGGAAATATTTTGAATTTGCATTAATATTATTTAATTGAAGAAAGTGTAGTTGAAAAAAAGAGAGAAAAACATATCTTGAAAATAATGAGGATCAAATAAGGACTAAATATCAAATTAATTAGTTCAATGAATAAATAGAAAACATAAATAATTACACAATATTATGTTAAAAATAGATTAAAGACACAAATGGATTTAAACAAATAAATACTCCCTTACGCCGTTGTGTAGAATAATATTTTAGATTTGCTCAACGAGCACAACTCATCTTTTTGATTGAATTGTTAAACACACCTTTGAAGGTGGAAATCTTCTAAAATGGTGAGTTCTCCTCACGATCACAAAATATGGCTTTAATCTACTAGATTAGATTTATATTTTTCGTTTCTTTAATGCTTTTCAAATCGATCTTCGAGTAAAATTTCATGTTGTCATTCAATTTCATTTTTTGTTGAAATTTGTCAACTCGACTGACTGAAAAATCGAGCATGACTAATATCAAGTTTACTCATAAAACATGTAGTACTTTGTTAATGTCTCATCTTTGTGTATGAGAGAATTGAAGCAGTGCCGGACCTACTCAAGGACCTAGTGGGTTACTTGACCCACCAGCTTCAAGTTGATTTTTTTTTCTCATAAGAACCAAAAATTAGAATTAGGCAATAATGATAGTTGGGCTTTTTTTTTAGAACGGAGATCCAACAATGCCTAAATAATTGAGAGAGTGAGTTGAAATTTTTTTGTCATTTGTGATTTTTAATTTGAAAATTCTTTAATTTGTTATTTATCTGTGAAATTATTTGAAATGCTTTGTGAATTGTTATTTATCATATATATGATATTTGTGAATCTATGATAGTGATCATATATATGTGTTTTTGTAGAATACATAAATTTTTTGTAACTTTTTAATAAATTTAATTGTGCTCTCACTAATTTAATTTCAAATGTCTGCGTTCGCCACTGAATTGAAGTGAGATATTGATTAAAGTTCAATAACAAAAGACCAAGAATCTGAAATTGCAAAAGATATAACATTCATAAATGAATCTAGCTCACAAACATCTTTATTGATCGTCAGTCGTGAAAGAATACGGAAAAAAAAAAGATTTTTTTGCGCTTAATCTACAATTTTAACAATTTTCATCATGCACAGATTTCCTCTATACGTTGTGTGATCTCTACCATGGACGGTCTTCTATCAGGATGCTGTGCAGTGCAAGAAATGGCGAGATTCAAAATTTGTACCGTTTGATCCTTAAAGTAGTCGAACCTAATCAAGTCGGGATCGAACACTTCAACTGTCCACTTTTCTTGCTCAACAGATTGAACCCAACTCGGCAAATTAATCCCATCCTCAATCAAGACACTATCGGGCTCCTTACCGGTCAGCAATTCCAAAAGAAGGATGCCAAAGCTGTATACATCGGCTTTCTTTGAAATCTTGCGTGAATCTTTCACTTCAGGTGCCTGGTAACCATTCAGGTTAGATGAAGTTATGTTTGAGACGAGTCGTGTTAGGCCAAATTCTGTAGGGCAGGCATCGTAGTATTCCGTGAGCAGAACGTTGGATGATTTGATGTTTCCATGTGTATTATTGTGGTTGAGCGAGTGGAGATACTGGATGCCGTTGGCAACCCCGAGGGCAATTTTGCATCTGATTTCCCAATTCAACGATCGCCTGTTGTTTCCTGTTGATTATGATATCAGAAAAAAAAAAAAAAAAAAGGAACCTGGAAAATTTACCAAAAGATTAGACATGCCATTGAGTCATTGACAAAGTATCAGGAACTCCGTCTAAACATATATTCTAAACTCATGCTGATGTTGTGAAGATAATTTATACACTAAAAAATGAATTGAATCTTTTATACATAATTCTCAACGAGCAAAACATAAAGGTTTAGCACAGATAGCAAGAGCACGAGCACTACTCCAAGCTTGACATTGGTGATGTCGATTTTCGATTGTCGTAAAAATATTTTTAAGATGCAAAATATTTGAAAGAAAAATAGCTAAGAAAAAGTAAAACAGAGCATATAATTAAGGAAAAGCAGAGAAGACAAAGAATCTCACCATGTAGAACTATGGACAAGCTTCTAGGCATTGGCTCAAAAATAAGCAGCTTCTCTTCTGTACCATAAAAGTATCCTCTAAGAGGCACCAAATTCTCATGTATAAGTGAACCCAATTCTTCAATTTCTATCCTAAACTCTTTCTCAGAAAGACAAACATTTTTTAACCTCTTAACAATTACCTGAACCCCACTTTCTAAATACGCCTTATATGTGGTTCCAACCGTCCCATTCCCTAATACCTCAGCAGAAGCCCTCAATAACTCTTCTAAACTGAACATTTCTACGTCTTCCCCGAAAAGCACCAAACCATCATTCCCACCTTGCACAACTACCTTTCCCACTCTCTCCTTGGAAGCAAAACTATAGCTGAATTGCTGATCTTTTGCTTCTGTAACGAGAGGCATAGGACTTGGAAATCCATTATACGGTGGAGAAGGAGGAATTGGTGAATTAGCAACACGCGGGAGAATTTCCCGACTTCTATAGCTTCTCCATAGAATGAACATAATTACAAGAATTAAGAGCAATCCAATAACAGACCCAATCGTAATTCCAGCTATTGCTCCACCTGAGAGTTTGTTTCCATTACTGGGACAAGGATCAAGAGGTCTCCCACAAAGAGATGTTCCTAGATAAGATAGATTGGAAAAAGTATCCAATCTTGGCGGGATTGAACCCATTAATGCGTTAAACGAAACGTTGAACTCCCTAAGACCAGTGAGGCTATTCAAATGAGGAAGTGATCCAGTGAACCCATTGTTTTCCAAGTACAAAGCTCTTAACTTGGTAAGGTTGTTAAGGGCAGATGACATATCGCCAGAGAACTTGTTCCACGCTAAATTCAAAAATTTAAGATTTTTCAATGTAAATAAAGTCTCCGGTATTTCGCCTGAGAATCGATTTCCCTGCAATTGAAGTTTGTTTAGCATGATGCATGAGCCCAAGTCAGAGGGGATTGGACCGGAAAGATCATTTTCCCGGAGGCTGAGGACTTGGAGTTCGGTCAAGTTCCCAATGGTATTTGGTGGGAGCTGACCGGTTAGGCCGTCTCCAGGGAGGCGAACCTCCGTGACACGGTTGGTTACATTGTCACATTTCACACCATCCCATAAACAAGGATTTGTACTACTGGTGTTCCATCGTCGGGTACGGCCGCCGACCGCCTCTCTTAGGCGGAGCAGCGCCGAACGGTCCGCCTCGAGGTCTGAGAATACTATGGCAATGGAATTTAGGGACAATAGGAAGAAAAGAGGGAAAAGACTATGCAAGAGAAAGGAAACCATTTCTTCCTTTTCTGTGTGAAACTTGGGAAGATTAATTTTTTATATTTAAGAAAACATATCGTTCCTCCTAAAACAGAAGGCTTTCTTTTTATTCTCCGTTCATAATATACAGTCAATGGTCGTATTAGTTGATTTTTCTTCTGAACGGGTTGAACTCATTGATTCATGAAGCTGATGGCTAATGACCATTTCTTGTGTTTTTTAGTTGACATTTGCTTCGACCGACCACAAGTCAACAAGAAATATATGTGTTAATTTCCACAACCAGAATAGTTTAACAAGATCTTCTATCTAAAAAGTTTGGCTAATCGAAGGAATTCAGGTATACATTCCCAACAGTTAGGTATAATGGATGTAACAAAGCACTATGGTTGGGTGACTTATTCTTGTACTGATTGTTAAATATTAAGGATTTGATTTTGTATGGTTTTATATAAAAATAGAAGTTGAATCATTTGTTATTAGATTAAGATTTAATTTTTTTGCATTTTTTTTAGGATTGTCACGAATCCCACGTCGTGAAGAATAAAAGGTTCTCACTTTGAACCCTTATGATGGAGGAGGCTTTCCTTTATTGTTTTCTTTATCATTATTTTGATTATAGTTATGGATTATTTTGGGGTTTTTGAAAATAACATTTGATCTTATTTAATAGTTTAAATTTTTATATCATGGAGTTTAACATGTTATTAAAGCATGAAAGGACATATGTTCAAGTCTCGCAGCCATCAATTTAATAAAAAAATGTGCGTGTGAGGCTTTAATAGAAAAAAGAATTATGCTAGTTGTACATCACAAATTGTACATAATGGTGTACACCCACTCACATGGGAGGACCCACTTGAATATTTTATTTGAGTGGGTCCCTCACCCATGTGAGGAGGGTGTACACCGTTAGGTAAAGGGTAATGTACCACTAGCATGATTGTAGAAAAAAATCATGCCTACACGTGAGGGGTGAATTTATTATAATTTCTAAATGATACTTTGGATATCATTTATTAGTCTTATTCTACATACCCGGAAGGTTTTCTAATGTGTAGGTTTTTGGGTGTACTTGAGAGAGGCTTAAAAGAGTTATTGTGATTATTGTAATAATTTTTCTATAAATTTATTGTGTTCGTGTCGGGTTATTTTTATTATTCTTTATTTTATTTCTATATTCTTCATATTTTCTCGCAGGAGCATCTTAGCAGGCCGTGATTTAGGAAATTAGTCTAGATTACCTACAAAACATACATAAAAATAAATATTTTTTTATCATTTCTATCTCCTTAGTAACTAAAACTTTTGAAACCATATAGTTCAACACAATAATATTAACGTTGTGTAAAGTTGTGAATTCAAATTCTACTGATTTTCATTAATTCAAATTTCACTTGTAAAGACTTTAAAAAGTAAAAGAATTTCTATTTTCTAGACATTTAAATTTCAACATGATCCAGATCAACCATATGGATCTATTTTTTTATGTTGGAATGTTACGAGCAGAGGCGGAGCCAGAAAATTCGTTCAGTGTGAGGATAACTCATGTCGAATATTGAGTTTTGGTCATGAATTTAATAATGATAAAACTCTAAAACAAAATTGCGATAATACTAAAAATGACATAGTTTATAATTAAATGTGTTCCTTGCAAGTTTTCATATTTTGATATAGTTGTACAATAACGTTATTATCAAGTAATTGAAAGCAAAAACAAGTGAAGTCCAAATCAATCTATGCCTAAAATCAAGCAAAATCATTGGCCCAAAAAAAAAAATAATAATAATTAAAAAAAAAGAAAAAAGAATGGGGGTTTTGGGCCTAAAAATTCAGAATGGCTCCGCCCCTGGTTACAACTTAACAAATACGTATACATGAGCTTTCATTGAATTTAAATGCATTTCATCTTCCCTATCCCTTTCCATTTCCCTTTTTTCCACGAAGACAAAACTTCTAAACTAATTTGCACGAAGTCCACCCAAAGAAAAGCATAGACCTGTATCTTCAAGTAAATGGCGTGTCGTGCAAGCTCGGAAATTGTAACATACATAGAAAGTTCAATTATGTTATTTTTCATGATTTCCAAAATAAAGATATATCAAGCTAGGACACATAAAAAAGACTGCAATGATGATTTTATTCTTTAAAATTTTTGAAACTGACATATATTAAGAAAGTCTAAGCTTATACGCATCAACAAGGTACCCATCTTTATAACAATCATGCTATATTGTCATAATTTTTTTGCCATCTTCCTTGACAGAATGCCACGTAGCATTGTCATTGAATTATTTAAAAAATAGTCAGTTTTTTCATCAAATCATTTACTGCCACCATCGCATCTGTCAAATGGGTTGAAAAAAAAATCTAGCAAAGTGGCTTATTCATCTTTATAAAAGAAGTCTCTTCTTACATGATTGATTATTATTTATTATATAGAACAAGGGAAATTATCATAATTGATTGAGTAGTAACTCTTGAATATACAACTTTACGTTTTGTAATATCTTATCAAATAATTTGTGAAGAACATTTCTACTTTGTGCTTTTTATGTATACCATCCATGGGAGACTTTGGGCTTAAATTGAGAATATAGCCATTTTAGTTGTTATCTATGTTTACAAATTATCATGTAGCACGATGAATTTATGTGTTGGTAGAACTAGGTTTCAAAACATGCATAAATGCTTACTGTACATAAAATTGAACCATTTAACCTAATTGTAAGAATATGAAAAGGATTAGCCCCCAGGCACATCTCCAAGTGGTAAAAGAGGAGGGTGGAGAAATCCAACTTTGCTTGAGGTTGCCGCGTCAAGGGTTCGAATCCTGAAATATGGATTTGGCTCTTGGGTAAATGCAAGTGTACAAGCAGCCTTCCACCCTGTACCCTTGGAGGCATAACCTGTGATTTACCTCCCTCACGATACTCCAGGGCAGGGGCGGTGGGGGACCCTTAAAGTTGGGGTTCAACCTTTTTTTAAGAATATGAAAAGGATTAATTGGATATGTTTTTATTTCACATGTGAAATGAGTTTGTGGAATGATTTTGGCTAACATGATTGAAGCTATGTATTGACACTATGCTACGTATCCAACTATTAATCTCAAAGTAAAAAGGATAAAAAATTGTTATGTCTATTTGAACGAAAGCTACTCTATCGAAGATCTCTATGAGGACACCAAATATAATATCTAGAAAACAATAAAAAATGAAAATTGAAAAATGATATGGCATGATCATGAAATAGAAGATGCATTGGAAGTCTTGGACACTAAAATTTGGGAATGTAGATAACTAGTGGCTTTCACTTACGTAGTGGAAGCTTGAAAGGTTGTGATGCTCAAAATTATGAAAAATCCCCATATATCTAGATAGTTGCTTTTATTGGTTCAATCTAACTAAGCTTTAGTGAAAAGCAATGGATTGTTTGAGAGCAACCTAAAAAATACATATCGGGAGAGATTAAATATCAAGTTTGAGAATAAGCATCTCATGAGTAGCAAAAGATAATATTGACCATTAATGGTTGTGATGAAACCAACTTGAAAATTTTTAACATTTTCATCCAGAAATAATTGGTTTTGTTAAAAGAGTTTATTCTATCACCAGCATCAACAATAAGTGGTGGTACATGTTGAACATTGAGATTAGCCCCTGTTTGGTTTAGCTAAAAATTAATTTTTAGTAGATTTTAATAAAAGTTGATGAAGTGTATAGTTGAAAAGTTGGTAAAAATTGTGAATTTCATGAATTATGAGATTTAAATTAATTGTTCACTTTGGATTAAATTTTTATCAACTTAATTGAACCAAGCATGGGCTAACAGCCCAAATCAAGATGAAACATCAATACCATCTAAAAAACAAGTAACATGCATCATTTCTCATGTACTGATGTAGGGTATTGTAATTATTTTGTCCAAAAACTATAGTTGATGATTCAAATGCAATTCATCCTATATAACTTGGAATCAAACCTTGAAATCCTCCCCAACCTCAGTTTTAAGTCCCGCTCTCGCTTCAAGCATGCACAACATTATCTGCTCCCTCCAAAGGAATGCTCCAACATCAACTTTGACACGAAACATTTAGCTCTCTGGTACCTAGCTAATGTAGGTATTGTCGCTACTTTATTAAAAAATTATAAGTGACATCACAAATGCAATCCATCCTATATTACTCAAAATCTAGTCTGAGAATAAATCCAAAGTTCAATCCCTGGAGTCATCTTGAATTAACCTAATTTCAAGTATCCTCCTATGTATGCACCCTCACAATACAGTTGTAAATATATAAGAAAGTTGAGTGAGATCTCCCTCATCTCTCATATGTCTTCTTAGTGTCTTCCTTATTTGCAAAGAAAAAATGGGCCTTAAAGGTAAATTAACAGTCGGAATAAAGATGAAGGCTGGTGGAGATGTATTTCACGAACTGTTTAAGTATAGACCACAACAGATACCCAATATGAGCTCTACTACCATTTAAGGCTGCAATTTGCATGAAGGAGAGTGGGGAACTCTAGGCTCCGTCTACTTCTGGAAGTACACTCACGGTATGCCTACTTTATTTAGGGCCTATTTGTGTCCCTTTAATTTCAAAAAGTGTATTGTAGAATAGTGATTGATGTTGAAATGTGTATTTAAAAAAGAAGGAATTTTTTTTATTTATGTATAATATTATTTTAATGAAGAATGTGTGATTGAAAATAAATACTATAGAAAAATAATGTGGTAGAATGTGATAGAATGGTTGACAAATAAAGGTTTGGTATACAATATAAGACTACACTCAATCATTTGGCTTTCCTTTGTATGAAGTTTGTAAGATTTGAAATAATTGTAGATGAGAAGTAGAAAATTAATAACGAAAGATATACTATAAACCATAGATGAGGAAAAGAAGAATGTGACATTTAAGGTAGTGGAGGGTGATGTGATGGAGCTGTTCCAGGCCTTCAAAGCTAGTTTTCATGTTGAAACTCATGGTGACATTGATCTGGGACATGGACTCTTAAGTACGATAGCTAAACGATGTTGAAGAACCACTCTCATTGTTGGGCTTTTGCATCTAATTCAAAAAAGATGTTAAGGCGCACCATCTCA